GCATGGGCAGCAGCCGTATCCGCAGCAAATACAGAAGAAACACGGCCAGTAGTCCTGCATCGTGTTGTTTATCTGGTTGATAGCGACTTCAAATTTCCACCTCCTTCACCTGCTCAGCACAAGCCAGATACTCAGTGCAGGCTCCTTTGTCCCGAGTCTCATGCTGTAGCGTACCAAATGACTGAGCTCAGACGGGAATTCGTCCTCATAGGCTTGAGCTACGCCCGTCACGAAGCGCACTCGAGTCGGATAGAGTCGTACCTCACCGTATTTCTTCTCGTCGTCCGTGTGTGCGAAACCTCGGACCATCACGACGGACGCCGCGTTTGAGGAAACATCGTGGAAACTCGTCGCCACCATCGTTCATTCCAAGCAGGAGCGATTTCCTCGCTATCCGCCGATGAGTTCTAACCTAACAGGCCATTACGAGCGACATGAGTTGGATCAAACGGCGCTCTAGCGCGCTTGTCAGCCGCAGATTTCGCCGGATCGCGTTTTAACGACTTTTACGTAGCTTAAGTGGGATTATAGCAATATATCTGATACCGGTAATACTGTTTCTATGTCGAGTATAAGTCATGTATTACCCGAATCAGCTCATGATATTATTTGCAGATACCGTCCAGTACGACCTCAGTCGTTGGAATCGTCGCAGAGGAACGACTGTGGTTGTGCAGATTGTGGAGCGACATAGAGAGCACCACTCGGTGAACGCCGCACCACGGGCCCGTCCTTGCTGCCATGGCGATTCAGTCGAGTCTCCCAGATTTTGCGTGTGAGGTCCGTGCGCCACTCCTGGTTTACGATACTCTCCAGATCAGCATTGCTCAGAAGTCTACCTTCGCTGCGAGAACCTCGAGTTAACCCGGCTCACAACGACGTTCCCTGTAGTGCGAAGCAATTAAACGTACTCCGTTATGCCCCTGCGCAGCTCTTGGGTGGCCCAAGCTGTAAAAGAATCACTAGGGTGTAGCAAGTCTGGGTTCTCTCGGAACGTGTTCACCTTGGTGACGTTATACGTCATCTGCAGGGGTTTCCCAGCGAGCGTTTTCCATTCTGCCAATATCTGCTGCTCGACACGCTTTACGCTAGGGGCTATCTCGTGCTCGCCGTTCTTCATCATTATCACTATCTCCTCTACTAAAAGAAATGACCGTTGTCATAGACCCCCTCCCCCAAATTAGATGAATAGCGAGGTATCGAAAGTGACGTGTCTGTTACAAAAGTCATGGG